ACATTAACACGACCACAATCTGTCCCTGAGTTTAACCAAGTGTTTTTATACTGTCCTCAAAACGGGTTTTACCTCTCAGCGTCACGGACAGTTACAGCACGACTCCCCCCGAACTAACGAGCTAGCTAACAATAATAATGATAACATATAAAAATGTACCGTCATTCTCACAACAATGGACCCAGTTAAAAAGGGACCTGATTGAACTTGTGATAAAAGTGACTTTTAAGAACCAACTTGAATGATTCAACTGATTTTTCATGCTGAGTTTTAAAGTGTTGAAAGCTCAGTGTGTGTGAATGACAGAGGCACATTGTGAAGCTCTTTGAATAAAAGTTCAAGCTTTAGACCAAAGGTGTGAAGAAATGGTAAATTTGGGGCATTTTGTTTGGTCCAACAGGTAGTTTTTAAGTGAAGGTGTGGTTTAATGACAGACTAATGTATAAAGGCTTTAGCTGACCTGCAGTGCCTGTCTTACTGCAGCAGGACCAGGAGGGGGCAGTGTGTGAGTGTGTGAGTGACAGAGACACATTGTAAAGCTCTTTGAATAAAAGCTCTATATGAATGAATCCATTGATTAAATATTATCAAACTGCTTGTAGCTGTTCACTGAGTTTGACGTGGACATTGACACAAACATCAGAGTCACTGAAGTAAAACCTGCTGCTCTGCTGTAAATGAATGTCAAACATTTTGTGGCTAAAGTGAAACATAATGTGACTTATTTTTTATTATGAAATGTTTCTTTTTTTTCTTTTTTTTTTACATTATTTTGGACAATCATGTGTTGCTTGTTTTTATTTGTTAAGGTGCTGATCCAGAGTCTGTCAGGTACAGTTACAGTCTGAACTGTTCACTGTTGTTGACTGTGATATTTGAATTGTCTCTATCTGACAGTGAGTTTGTGTTTATGTTGTCAGCTGATGACGCAGTTTCAGGGTGTCATGTAATTTCAGGCAGAGCTTCATCATTTCTGTCCAACAGCTTGAATAAAACAGTAAAAATATCAAAGTGTTTGTTGTGACTGTTTGTTTGCTAGCGTGGCTGACGTCACAACAGTTTGAAAGATGGACCGAGGTCAACGGTCGAAAATGTGGCTTCACTTTAGAAAAGAAACTGACGTGAAGAGAAAGAGCAGAGTGAGAAGCTGTGAAGTGGAATTGAGTTTATTAAAGGTTCGTCCACCAGAGGGCGCTGTAGTAACATATGAACTGTAGCCAGTGGGACTTTAAATGTGTAGAAGAAGAAATGTGTCGCTGTTGTCCGGAGGATACAACAGTTGTTAGCCGTTTGGCTTCATGTTCTTGTCATGAGATAAATAAACCTCCTCCCTGGTTGAAAAGAAGCCTCCGGTGAGTTACAACCGTCGGTGTTGAGCTGCCGGAGCCACCGCAACGACGCTTCGCCACTTTTCTTCTTCAAGCGAAGAAATAAAATATCTGCAATTCACATAATTCGGTTGAAATATTTTTATGTTTCCAATGTGTTATGAGTTTGTTGGGAGAAAGTGGTCATGGTAGTCAGAATTAAGGGTAGTGTATTCATTACCATTGTCATTAGGCAGAAGCTTAGTAGGTGTCAGTATCACTATGTGCGGAGAATATTTCCAGGTAACGTCACAAGTTTGAACTTTGAAAGAAGGAGAAATAGTGACATTTTTAAATCTATAAACGAAACTGATTTAGTTAAAAGAATATAGTGTTTTTTGCATAATCTCCTGATCCACAGTCCAGTTCAGTCAGTGGCGGTTATGTACCTATAGTTGGTTCGCCAACCGCCAAAAAACACCTAAGAAGAAGTGAAGTCTCGCGTGAGCAGTTCAGACTGAGAAAGTCTGAACAAGATGGAAGCAGATGAAAGCTGTGTAGCGACTGTGAACCTAAAGTGATATTTTTGCACTTTGCAGGTAGATGGAGATGTTAGCTCGGTGTCCTGGTGTTTCCAATGTTGTTCTGTGACACTGTTTAAGTTCTGTTCTCTGTTTATTAGCGACTGTGTCGACGGTAAAAGTTAGCCAGTTAGCAGCTAATGTAAAGTTCATGGCCGCCATTGCAGTAATCAGACGGTAGTCAAGACAACGAGCCCTCAGATGAGGGAGACCCTGTTGTGACTGTTGACCGTTAATATGACTGTTATGAAGAATATCAAGTTATGTTCAGCGAATGTTAAATGTAAGTGAATGTGTTCAAGATGGACGCAGATGACGTTGTGTAACGACTGTAAACCTAAAGTGATATTTTTGTACTTTGTAGAAAACCTTCATTTAATGTGTAGCATTAAGATTGAGCCTGTGTGACATCACTGTGCACCTACACTGGCTTAGCTAGGTTTTCATAGCCTAGCCTTTTAGCTTCACTGGACCTCTGACTGCACTGCAGCTTTTCCTCTCAATGGATGTTTCCAATGTGGCTTCATTTGATCAGCACTTGTAAGTAAATGAAATCATTTAAAACATGAACTACTTGTGTTCATGCACCTGCTGCTAACAGCACTTTGATTACAACCCTATATATTCATCATCTAATATCACTGAGCTGGATGTTTGGCTGATGCTGTGTCATATTCTCAACATGATGAAACTGTTCATGAAGTCAGTCTAACGTCTGATCATGTGATCATAGTTGATTGAATCTATATAAACTTACCACCTTCGAACAGTGGTTACATAACCTTTGAAACAAACAGCAACTTAACTGTGTGCTCCGATACGTAAACAAATAGCACTACACCTCTGTTAGTCAGTCTAAGACAGTTAAACCCTTAACACTGTCTGAAACCCTCTTTTAAATCTGTGAGACCTTTATTCTATATGTGAAAACACAAAAAAGGGGAGATTTCACTGCTTTCCTCTAGACCACATCAAACCAGGTCCAGTCATCAGTTTGTGTTTTCACAAATCAAATTTGCTTTGTTGTCGAAGCACTTTGTAAACTCTGTTTTAAAGGCGCTCCATAAAGTTGTTGTTGTTGTTGTCATTATTATTATTATTATTATTATGATGAACAACAATAATAATAAAGGTGTCACAAATTTTAAAGTAGGTTAAGGTAATCCTCATGCAAACTTACACAGAGACAGTTAACTGCTCTATACTAACAGCCTATGAATGGTAGTTCTCTCCACCCATTAGCTATACCACTTATCCTTACAGGGTCACGGTGGGCTGGAGCCAATCCCAGCTGACATTGGGCGAGGGCCAAGTACAACGCAGGACTGACGTATAGAGACAAACAACCAGGCACACTCTCATTCACACAATTGTGAACTGTTATGAAGAATATCATGTTATGGGGAACTAATGTTAAATGTTTAGTGAATGTGTACAAGATGGAGGCAAATTTAACGCTGTATTAGCGACTGTAAACCTAAAGGATATTTTTCTACTTTGTAGAAAACCTTCATTTAATTGTTTTAGCACCAGAATTGAGCCTGTGTGGACATCACTTGGTGCACGACACTGGTTTAGGCTTAGCGTTTTCTTAGCCTTTTTTTTTTTTTTTTTTTTTTTTTTTTTTTTTTTTTTTTTTTTTTCCTTTTTTTTTTTTTTTTTTTTTTTTTTTTTTTTTTTTTTTGTTTTTTTTTTTTTTTTTTTTTTTTTTTTCTTTTTTTTTTTTTTTTTTTTTTTTTTTTTTTTTTTTTTTTTTTATTTTTTTTTTTTTTTTTTTTTTTTTTTTTTTTTTTTTGGTTTTTTTTTTTTTTTTTTTATTTTTTGTCTTTTACTTCATTTAATGTTATTTTTAGTTAGACTTTGTAGTATACTTTGTTGTTTTGTTTTTGTAGTTTTTTTTTGCCTATTAGCTTCACTGGACTCTGACTGCACTGCAGCTTTTCCTCTCAATGGATGTTTCCAATGTGGCTTCATTTGATCAGCACTTGTAAGTAAATGAAATCATTAAAACATAAATACTTGTGTTCATTCACCTGCTGCTAACAGGTTTGATTACAACCCTATATATTCATCATCTAATATCACTGAGCTGGATGTTTGGCTGATGCTGTGTCATATTCTCAACATGATGAAACTGTTCATGAAGTCAGTCTAACATCTGATCATGTGATCATAGTTGATTGAATCTATATAAACTTGCCACCTTAGAACAGTGGTTACATAACCTTTGAAACAAACAGCAACTTAACTGTGTGCTCCGATACGTAAACAAATAGCACTACACCTCTGTTAGTCAGTCTAGACAGTTAAACCCTTAACACTGTCTGAAACCCTCTTTTAAATCTGTGAGACCTTTATTCTATATGTGAAAACACAAAAAAGGGGAGATTTCACTGCTTTCCTCTAGACCACATCAAACCAGGTCCAGTCATCAGTTTGTGTTTTCACAAATCAAATTTGCTTTTGTAAACTCTGTTTTAAAGGTGCTCCATAAATTGTTGTTGTTGTTATTATATTATTATTATTATTATTATTATGAACAATAATAATAATAAAAAGGTGTCAAATTTTTAAAGTAGGTTAAGGTAATCCTCATGCAAACTTACACAAGAGACAGTTAACTGCTCTATACTAACAGCCTATGAATGGTAGTTATATCCACCCTT